TGAGAACATCAGCCAGCTCGCTGGCACATGCCCTGAGAGCCCTCCCAGGGATGTTGTCTGGTCCTGCTGCTTTGCAGGGGTTGATCTTCCTCAGGACTGTGCGCACTTGGCCTGGTGAGACAGTTATTGGAGGGGAGTTGGGGGGCTGGGTGGTCTCGATGTGTGTGTGCCTCCTCTCTGTGCTGTGGCTGGAGGTTTCAAAGCGGGTGTAGAAAGTGTTGAGGTCATCTGGCTGGCTTTCCGTGGAGCTGATGATGCTGGTGGTGGTCCTGTAGTCTGTGATGTGCTGCAGGCCTCGCCACATCCGTCCGGAGTCAGCAGTAGAATAGAAGCCATTCAGCTTCTCTCTGTACTGCCTCTTGGCTGCTGTGATGGCTTTCCTCAGTCTGTACTTTGCAGCTTTGTACTCCGTCTCATCGCCTGATCTGAATGCATAAGAGTACGCATGTGGCGTACCTGACTGTTTATCCAGGGCTTCTGGTTGGGGAAACTCCTGACTTGTATGGTGGGCACAATGTTGTCAATACAGGTACTAATGTATCCGGTCACATACTCGGCATAATCCTGTACGCTGACAGACAAGTCCTCTGAGGTGGCTGCAGCTTTAAACACATCCCAGTCTGTCTGGGCGAAACAGTCCTGCAGGATGCCTTCAGTCTCTGGGGTCTAGCGTTTAATTTGTTTGGTGACGGGGTTTGTTTGTTTCAGTCTTTGTCTGTAAGCTGGATACAGGAATAAAGAAATGTGGTCCGAGTGTCCAAGGTGGGGGCAGGGTGCGGCCCTGTATGCACCACGTATGTTACTGTAAACATGATCCAGAGTGTTCTTGCCCCGAGTGGGAATGTTCACATGTTGGTAATATTTGGGGAGTATAGTCTTTAAATTGCACTGGTTAAAGTCGCCTGCAGCAATAAATACAGCATCGGGGTGTGCTGTCTCCAGCGCGTTGATGACATCGTAGAGTTTGCCGAGAGCCGCAGAGGGATTAGCTCTTGGGCTAACATACACAGCTGCTAGAAACACAGCACTATGTACTCTGGCTAGATAACAGGGCCGGCATTTCAGCAATAAAAACTCTACGTCTGGCGCACAGTGCTTATAAACAGTTCGTACATCTCCACACCATGAATTATTAATGAACACACACACACCGCCTCCCTTTACCTTCCCTGAAGCCGCAGTGCAGTTGCTTCGATGTACAGAATGTGTTTGTAGCTGAATCGCTGAGTCTGGAACTCTGTCAGAAAGCCAAGTTTCGGTGAGAACTAGAGCATAGCATTCTCTGATTTCCCGTTGTAATCCATGTTGAAGGCGAATTGCAAATGCAATAAAACTTGTATTCCTGGTAGCCCAAGTCCCAAAAGTTTACAGGAAAGCAACATAGCACAAAAAGCAACACAGAAAACCTAGAAAACTCGAAAAAAACAAACAAACAAATAGAGCGAAAGCTGCTCAGGGTAGCTGCTGCTCCACGCGGAAGTGGAAACGGAAAAACATTTTTACTTGATTCGGCTCCCCTATTCATTTTATACCCTTTAGTAGAAATTAATTTGAAGGCTGACAAGGTAGTTCGCTCACTGGAGTTTTGCAGTAGCTCGTGCGGTTGACTGTGCATGCTTGGTGACTCGTGTGTCAGAAAAGATAAGATCTCAGACTGGCTGCCCTGCATGTCAATCAAGTAGCAAATGTCATAAGGAAGATGGATCATAGGCTATATATGAATGATTGTCACTTTCAGCTTTTCCCGTTAGGGGTCACCACAGCGAATCATCACACTGACCGTTCACATGTTAACATTTGGCTGGTGTTTTACGCAGGATACATCTAATTTATTTTTGAATGGCACGTGATCTACCAACACTACCTTTGCGATTGACCGGTCGATCGTGAAGGACGTATTGGGCCCCCCTGCCTTAATAAATAAAATCATTGCTTAAAAGCTGCAGTTTGTGTTTACTTGAGTTATCTTTGTCTAATATTTAAATATGTTTGATGATCTGAAACATTTAAGTGTGACAAATGTGCAAAAAAACAGGAAATCAGGAAGGGGGCAAATACTTTTTCACAGCACTGTACATGCATAACAGGCTAATTAGGGTACTCAAAGTCTCAACTGTCCCTAAGCCTGTTGATCCTACCTGAGTTGTATCTGAGCTGGACGTCCTTCACCAGAGTCACGTTGGCAGAACGCCTAAAGATACCCTCGATCTCCAAACCTTGCACACACAGTACAAAATAATAAGGTAGTTCTTAGAGGGAAAAAAAAACCTTTGTGACTAAAACACATTACAGGTTTGTTTGTGCATTGTGTTTCTGCCAACAGAAGAAAAGTGTCATATAGGTGTTACCGTGTTCTAAAAGGAAGGCAATGGTGTCTCTCATCACAACAGGAACTGGATTAACATCTGGACTCCTCTGTCTGAGCCTGACACACACACACACACACACACACACACACACACACACACACAAGCTGTGGCTAGAACGACAAGCTTGGATCTGAGGTTTCCAATATACATAGCCAGTAAGCTTTTAGAGTAAATATTTCTTTAAAGGCCAGGGTGAATGCCATCTGCTAAAGCACAGACACTTACAATGCAAGTGAAACTCCAAACACCTGGTTGGGGAGGGGAGGGCTGGAAGGACGGGACATGGGAGGCTGGGCGGTTGGTTTCAGAGATGCTCTCAACTTGTTGTCATACCTAAAACAGAGAATGTTAGACTCCCAGATGGTTTGAATGTTTAAAAAATAACTAGGCAAGTAAATGTTTGATTTTTACATGATTTCTGTGCAACAGGGAATGTAATACAACCAACAGTTTCAGAGTCTATTCAACTGCATGCAAACAGTAGAATACAACAGGAATTTAAATGCAACTAGAGAATTGCATTTTCTGAAGAAAATGCGTATGGATGCTGAAAGATCGCCCTGAAAATGCTGAACATTTTGACACCTGAATGGTTTTGATAGCTGAAAGTATGCTGAAGTAGAATGTTCTCCATTCATTTGAATGGAGCAAGATTTTCAAAATAAAGCTAAATATTTTAAAAATATAATGTTTAGAAGACTTCTGAATAGAAGCATGAATGTCCTTGAAGAGCTGAACATTTTAATACTTGAAATAGCTGAAGGGATGCAAAAGTAAAATTTCCCCATTCATTTGAATGGGGCAAGATTTTCAAAATAAGGCTAAATATTTCAAAAGTATGAAGTTTAGACAACTTCTGAAGAGCAGCATGAATGTCCTTAAGGAGCAGAATATTTTGATAACTGAAACTATGCTGAATTAGAAATTTCCCATTCATTTGAATGGAGTAAGATTTTCAAAATAAAGCTAAATATTTTAAAAGTATAAAGTTTACAAAAGTTCTGAATAGCAGCATGAATGTCCTTAAGATATGAACATTTTGATACCTGAAAATATGCTGAATTAGAATTTTCCCATTCATTTGAATGGGGCAAAACTTTCAAAATAAAGCTAAATATTTCAAAAGTATGAAGTTTAGAAAAGTTCTGAATAGAAGTATGAATGTCCTTGAAGAGTTGAACATTTTGATAGCTGAAATTATGCTGAAGTTGAATTTCCCCATTCATTTGAATGGGGCAAAACTTTCAAAATAAAGCTAAATATTTCAAAAGTATGAAGTTTAGAAAAGTTCTGAATAGAAGTATGAATGTCCTTGAAGAGTTGAACATTTTGATAGCTGAAATTATGCTGAAGTTGAATTTCCCCATTCATTTGAATGGGGCAAAACTTTCAAAATAAAGCTAAATATTTCAAAAGTATGAAGTTTAGAAAAGTTCTGAATAGAAGTATGAATGTCCTTGAAGAGTTGAACATTTTGATAGCTGAAATTATGCTGAAGTTGAATTTCCCCATTCATTTGAATGGGCAAAATTTTGAAACAAGAAACAAGAAAAATAATAGCATAAATGTCTTTGAAAAGCTGAACATGTCAATACCTGAATGGCTTTCATAGCTGAAAGTATGCTGAAAAAATTAAGTGCCAAAAAACGGACTGAAGAAACCAGAATAATAAAGACATAGATAACATAGTATGGATGCTGAATCAGCATCCATACAATAAAGACCAGGATAACATAGTATGGATGCTGAATCAGCATCCATACAAATATTCATTGTGTATCATTTCAAAGTGAAGTTTTGGAACAAAATGTGGAGTGTGACATCATCTCTTACTCTTTCACACGAGTGGGAATGAGCAGCTGCTCACACTTCACCACATCTTCCAGCTCACTCAGATAGCTCACATAGTTGATTTTCCTGCCAAATTTAAAACTACAAAGAGAAGGAGACAAAATCAGCTTCTGTCAACAGGAAATTAATCCGCAGCTGTTTTTCTAAGAAAAATGCCCCAACATTTTTTGGGTACTGACCGAAATGTGTCTGTAGCACAAAACGTGACCTACTGAAAGTTGACACAGATTGTTTCAGTACAGAATTCATAGTCTTATTAGCTTATACTTTTACATTTCAGTACAAATCAGTGAATAAAAGCTTAAGACTGTGAAATACATGATATACAAATAGAATAATTTTTGTTCAACAGGTAAGTTTGGAGCTTATATTTGCCACCCATCACATTGTGCAGTGTTGTTGTAACTTTCGACAGCTGCCACTAGGTGCTGCTAAAGTCATGTTTTAGTGAGTTTATCAGTTAAAGCTGCCTCAAATCCATATGAAATTAATGTGCTCATACTTTAAAGTACGGCTACAAGGCTTGAAGCTCCTTAGACAAGATGTTCAGTTTTCTTGGAAACGACCAAAGGGGAATTTAGGTGAAATGGTGTGGCCAAAGAGTTGCTGAAATTAAACATGCAATTTTCTCTTCTTTTCAGCTGCTAAGGGGTCTAGTGAAACTCAAAACAAATGGACGTCTTGTTTCCTAGCAATAGCGTCAACTGCAGAAGCCTGGTTGGGACAAACTGCACAAAACACAGTCACCAGTCCAAAGCTATTAGCCTACTAACGAGTCCCAGCGCTATGGCAGTGGCACAATGTCAAGTGACAAGGTCGATGAAACCATCCTGACTAGGGCTAACAAAGCACTGGCTTTACAGAAAGCTTGAATTTCTCCCACATTAAAATTATATTAGTTCAACACAAAGATAAAAATCACAACTGTTAGGTCGCTAATGTTAACCAAACAAATGTTAGCTTTACAGTTGGGAGCTGAAACTCCATGTATATGTTCAGTAATTTGACATAAATAAAGAACCTGATGATTGGTTTGAAGAGGAACAGCAGTGTTTTGATGAACATGGTGGGATGAACAATGTACAGAGCCTTGATGTTCTTCTTATACCTGAAAACACAGACAGCAGATATTCTGACAAAATGTACTGGCACATATAATAAAGAGAAGATCTTTAGAAGCTCATTTAGTTTCAAACACACAAGCACAACAACAAATGCAAAGTGTGGGCCATGGGCTCACAGACTATCTCCACCTGTTTAAATTACACAAATCAACCTGGCAATACTTGACATTCAAATTAGTTATTGTGAAATGCAGAAAAATGCTAAAAGATGTGCAATACAGAGCCAGACCTTTACTATAAAGCATGTTTAGGACATTCTTAATGTATGTTGAAATAAATATTTTCATGAAGACTAATATCTCTACATGTTCACCTTTGCCAGTAGTTGTAGTAGCATCAGGCAGTGGAATAAACAAGGGAAGTTCATGTAGCACATTTCATTCATGCAGCAGACATGCAAGAAAAAAGTGTGATTTGAGTAACGGGGGGCTGTGACCCAGTAGAGCTTTATGTCTAGCAATGGCACCTGGCTTTGAGTATTTGGTTTACTCGTTTACAACGTTGGATTGCGAGTGTAATTCGTTCTGGCAACATGCTCATAATCCAAAGCACTCGTATTTTAAAGCAAATTTCCCCATACGAAATAATGGAAACTAGATGATTTGTTCCCACCTATCCATATAAAAATTATTACAGTAATACTAAATACAGTACAAGGTAAAAAGAAAACAAATTAACCTGCACTTTACCTTTGAAAAGAATCGTGGCTGGCGTGAGGGGCCATTGGCGCAGTATACTATATTCACTATACGAGTGAAGCGTAAGAACCATCGGCTAAATTGTGATGTACGTATGTCACGTGACGCTTGGCAGACAAAGCGTATGTACTACTTGTATTGCAAGTGTGTCTACTCATATATCAAATCAAAAATTTTTGCTCGCCTTGCAAAACACACACAAACCGGGTTATTTGCAATCCAAGGTTCCACTGTAATCACTAAAGCTGCAGTGGAATGATGCTGCCCCAGGTACAGACATATGGTTCTGAACACAATGTCTACCAGCAGCTCTTATTGTGCCGCCTCATTTGAACCTCCCATCTGTCCACCATGTACCAACACTGGGCACCAAAATACCACACAGACAAGCAAAGCCAGTTTCACTGTGAGAGCACTGCTTGCACCTCCATGAAAACAGGGCCCATAGTGTTAATTTCAAAGATATTCAGTGAGGTTCTTGAGCTTACTTTCTGTCAAACTCCCTGTATGCATCTCGTAGCCAGCTGAGAGACGGTTTGTTTTCACTAGTCAGCCCGTAATGGAAATAGATCAGAGTATAGTCACTTTCCACATACTGATCCAGAGTTCCTTTAAGGTACCTGCAAAAAAGGAAACATGTATTGCCATTTAAATAAGTAAGTGTATGGTAGCTACAGCCATCAATAAGGTTAGCCTTCACAAAGAATACATGAAATAGTCTAACTTTGTTGGGGAGTAATTCCTGTAAATGGTAACAACACAGAGAGCAGAATGTAGCCTGTGGTACAAGTAAAGAAATTAACATAGCTAACACATAGGAAATTTAGCTATGCTAGCCAAGGAAGCTAGTTATATGACATTACACAATTAATGTTATAAATGTTAGAAATTCCTTAAAGAAATTTGACCACCCTTCCTATGCCATTCCGTATACCCAGACATTTAACAAATGGAGAAACAGCTTTGCAGAAAAGCAAAAAAAGGAAAGCAAGTGAAATCGTTTTATGTCCGGGTTGATATGGTACACAAGGATGAGGCTAGAAAAAAGTGTAAGCAGCTACAAAAGACAAATTCATCAATGAGATCCTTCAGTAAACCAACATAATACCTTTCAAAAGTTTTTGATTCTTTGGTGCTCATGCAGTGATGCTGCTGCTTGTGGCTGGTAAATCACAAACCTTTTCACCCCATCTTTTGGTTAATCACTAACATTCAGCTGTAACTTCAGCTTTCCTACTGTTCGTGCAAATGCAAACAGGTAGGTAGTTCCTGGTGGAGCTTCCCAGTGGGGTAGTCCCTAGAACGGTTTGGTCCAAAAGTGCCTTTTGGGTAGCAGTTTGTTCTGCACAGACCAATCATTGAGAATGCATTAGTACTTACATCAGCAGCTTGTGATGGTCCAGCTGGTGCTGTGGGGGCATCCTGCAGGCACTGAACACAATCACCTTCCTGCCAAAGTTATCATCACCTACAGTCACACACAGAAAGGCCAAGGTAAAACACAATTATTAATTCCACAGTGGATATGGAAATGACAATAACCACAAGAGGGCTGTGAAAGGAAGACTAACCTGCTACTTCAATGATCTGATGCCTGGCGATGTCATAGAAGGGATGATCCCAGGGCAAGTGGGGAGAGCCAGCGTCAAAGTGCTGGGAGATGTCTGTCTCTGAAACACACATCAGTACATAAATACAGCCCAGACCACAAGTACCTGGACAATTATACACTTTTTGTTCCCCAGGCTCTGTGCTTCAACACGTATTTAAATGAATTAACGTAATGGAAGTACCTGAGCGTGCCAAGTGATTTGAGTAAGTTTACATCAATATAAAAAGGATTATGTGGGAGACAGACCTAAGACATTGTTTAGATTAGGGATTAAAATGTAATTGATAGATACAAAGTCAAAAAATATTTAATATTCTGCAGAAAATCTTTTGCAGTCAATGACAGCAGCAGCTTTTGGATCTTCTCTGGTGATGCTCTCCGAGGCCTTCCCTGCAGCCACCTTCGATTCCTGCTTGTTGTGGGCTCTCTCTGCCTTTAGTCTGGTCTTCAGCAAGCGGACTGCAGTTTAATCAAATTGAAATCGGGTTACTGGCTCGGGCTGTCTAGGATATTTCACCTCTTCACACTGAAGAGGGGTTTGCAGTCAGGAAGTATTTTCTTGATTGCTGACAAGGAAATATGTACACCTACATTCTGGAGAGCACTTCTGACTTAAGTAGCTGTGAAGGATAACCAGCATTAGTGAGGGAAGGGAGTGCTGCCAGGCCTGCAGCCCCCTCTAGTGGTGGCTGCAAGTGGCAGTATCTTATAATCAGCAATAAACAATTTTAAAAAGAAAAAAAAAAACACTTTTCTTTAAACTGTGGACATATATAGCGGTTTAAAACACAGCAATATGGCTGTGGTAGCAAGCAACAATGGTATGCAACCTCAAGGAACAAATAAACACTCACTTCAAACCTGATTCCTGAAACACATTCCAAGCAAAGCATTCCCCATGGTGTGATTTTGTCACTCCTTTTCACAACACTTAAAAATCATTTAGGGACTGAGGACACCATTCTTTCTGCAAACAAGTCTTAAACTGCACAGTCCTGGGTCTTTGTTGATGCAATTTGTGTTTCAAAGCACGCCGCACGTTCACAATCGGGGACAGGTCGGGACTGCAGGCAGGCCAGTACAGCAGTCGTACCCCTTTCAGGTATCAAAATGTTCAGCTCTTCTGGGACATTCTGGGTTGTATATTTCTTTTCTGTAACATTTATACTTTTTAAAAATATTCAGTTTTTTCAAAAAATTCTCATCTCATTAAGTTCAGTATACATTCAGCTACAAACACCTTTTTAACTGTTTACTATTCAGCAACTCTTAAGCTGTTCATACTGTAAACAGCGTTTTATGGTTTTTTGCAAAATTGCCGTTTACAATCTATGTTCAATTTCAGTAGCCACACGCTAGTAGTCCTCAGGGTGTAGGACTACTCTGTCTCTCTCTCACACATGCATGCACACACCTACTTGTTTTACCTACTTTGTGGGGACTAGCAAGAAAATTTTCACATCTTAATAAGTTCAGTATACCTTCAGCTACAACCGCCATTTAGGTATCAAAATGTTCAGCTCTTCAAGGACATTACTGCCTGTATTTATTGCATCTCATCCTTCAGATTATTCAACAAAGAACTTCAGCCATTTCTTCTCATCCTTCAGCTGTTTCAGCAATTGATTTCAGGCATTTTCAGGGTGATCTTTCAGCATATCAGCATCCACACGCATTTTTGACAGTTATCATCTATAACATGGTAAGTAATTGTCTCAATTTGGAATTCTAAGAATCCAGAAATTACAGAGACAGCACAAGCCTAAGCTGGATGACCGTGCTCTCTGATCCCTCAGATGGCAACTGTATCAAGACTAGTCGTTCTTCTATAAGCAATATAACTAATGGGCTCAGAATTACTTTGGCTCACCTGTGTCAGGCACTACAATATGTAGTTACATCCATAAATGCTGCTTAAAACTGTACTGTGCCAAAAGGAAGCCCTATGTCAACAGTGTCCAGAAGTGCGCTCAACTGCTCTGGGCTCAGAGGCATCTGGTATGGACCATCACACAATGGAAACGTATTGTGGTCAGACGAATCACTATTTCAGGTCAGACGAAAAGGACCATCCAGACTATTAGCAGTAACAAGTCCAAAAGCCAGGGTCTGTCATGGTCTGGGGTTGTGTCAGAGCCCTTGGCAAACTCAACTTACTCTTCTGTGATGGTGCCATTAATCCTTAATACACAAATTTTGGAGCAGCATATGCTGCCTTCAAGATGACATCTCTTCTAGGGATGCCCATGCGTATTTCAACAAGACAATGCAAAACCTCATACTGCTCACATTACCAAGGCCTGACTGTGGAAATTGGATAACATAGTATGGATGCTGGATCAGCATCCATACAATAATAAAGAATAGGATAACAATAGTGTGGCTGCTGACTCAGCATCCACACAATAAAGACCAGGATAACAAAAGTGTGGCTGCTGACTCAGCATCCGTACAATAAACATTTTAACACTACAAACCCTTCCCCTTAACAAGACAAATAAAGTTCCAGTCATCTACATCTTGTTAAGCCATGAGCTTATAGATCTATGTGTTAGTAATATGTGCTGATCCAAAGGGACAGAATCTATTCAAAAACTCTTGTAAAATATCATTATCATGCAGAAATGTTTATTTCTGCTCTCTACAGGTAACACTTTTATTTCTGATCTGGCATGGAATGTTAGGATTTTATGAATAAATCAATTACGCTAGCATAATATCTGATGTCTAGTTATTAGCGAAGTTTGTAGCAGCTAGCTAATGTACAAAGACTGAACAACAGCGCATGCTTTTTTAGATTTTCTGTTTCTTCAACTCATTCTAAATCACTCACATTTTATCACTGCACAGATGTGAATTTATTCTATGTTCAAATGTGTGCTTACAAATTCCTCTCACCTGATTTGCTGAGAGAAGGCTCATCAGGGGGCCACTCCTGGTTCTCTATGGTGGTTAGCTTCAGCTGCCCTAACTGTGCGGTTGCAGGGTCTTCACCCAGATCTACCAGCAACTCTGAAGACATCTCACACACCACAGAGTAATGTCGGACCCACACTCACACTGCCAAACACACAGAGTAGCTGTCAGGGACCTACAAAAGACAGACACACCTCTGGTCAGCTGGGTTAGAAAACATTTCACCCACTGATAAGATCATTAAAGTGCCCATGGCATGCCCATTTTGCTCATTTCCAGCCATTTAATGTTTAATCTTGGGTACCTCTAGATTAATCTGGCACCCCTCATAAGTCCAAATAGTTTGTAATTGTTTCAGAATCAGAGAGCCAAAAAGCCTCTTCCTTAAAATGAGAGTTTAAAATGAGTTCGTGAACGCGCACAACTCCTGCTGCCGGTGTTGTGTCGCAAGTGGATAGCACAAAGAACCGCATTAATATGAATTTCTCCTACACAAGGGTATATGTACCGATGAAAGGAGACGTGTAACACTCTAAACAAAGTGGGTAATTGAGAAAGCTCATATTTTAACAATAATGCAGACATAGTAACTTCTCCAGGCTTACAACAATTCTCTCCAACACTACAGAAACAAGGGATTAACAAACATGCACCCTGTGGTTTTTAAAACTTCCTGTTAAGTCCCACCCAGTAGTGGAAACATCACTCCCTTTCAAGTAGCTCGAAGGTCGGTAAATCCAACCGGTGGTCGCTGTGTCTTCTCCCCTACACAACCACATATAGTCCCAAAGTAGTGAGACTAATTCCAACAGGTAGCCTAGCACCGACAATAACATCATGGGTCGTTAAACTGCTCGTTAACCAGCAACACATCACGTGCGGCAGTCACACTGGCCTCAAGCAGTAAGAACAAACAGGTACTATGCTCTGGAGGACTCCAGTTCTTGCTAATTACCAAATTTCCTTGCTACTTTAGGTCGGCTAGCTAAGCTAGTAGCTTAGTTGAGAGCAATGGCTTCATCCTCTTCCTCTCCTTTCTCTTGCTCGGAGTATCGGCTGTTCAGTTATACCTCTGCCTCTTTTAGCGTTAATGGTACTTGTAAATAAATGTCAGATACTAGCAGTATTGGAGGCGAGGCTCACCGATCTGGAAGCGCGGCTTCGTACTGTTAGGTATTTTTTTAGTCAGATAGGTATTGGTTAGGTACTTGTTGTATTAGAAATGTTTAGTGAAGACAGGATGTCTAGTTAGACAGTTTAAACACTTGGTCATTGTCATGAGATTTTAGCAGGGTGTACATGGGTAAGGATAACTAGATAGAAATGTTTGATTGTCAGCAGGCAGGATGATTATTATTAATTATTATTATTATTCTTATTATTATTATGATATATTTAGCCATAATCTTAATCATAACATCTTCCTAGGCTTAATGTCCGGACATGTCCTGTATGTTCTTAGATACACACCACTTAATCAACACTCACACACATTGATTTTCTCCATGTTTTGACTACTGCTACGGTCAGCTGTAAAGCCGACATATCAGGTGATGCCACGGTTTGACGTGCCTGTGTAGAATGGGGTTAGCCCAAACCAGATATAATGTACAGGCCTGTTGGGTTCGGGGTCTTTCATTCTTCATCTGCCTGCGTGCAGTATTGGAGGTGAAAGATACCTGAGCGTGTAATGTTAATTTTACCTGTGATCCTTTGAATAAACCAGCACGGTTTTTTGTATCCACTTGGACCGCCTCGTCTCTCTGAGTTTCACTGGTTAAGAGTAACTGGGAAATATCTTTCAGTACCATGGAGAACAACCCAGCTAGCTATGCCCATGTAGCCAGCGCGGAGCCTCCTAGACGGCTCTAGTGGTGGGCGCATCAATCTAAAGTATCGATCAGTTTCGATACCAAGGTTGGTATCGGTATCGATCGATACTTGTGTATCAGTTTCTCTTTTCTACATTGTTTTTAAAGTGCTATACAAATAAATTTTGATTGATTGAGTACACAACCCCTGTTACACCATAGTGGTTGTGCAAACACCACTCCTCTAGTGATGACCATCTGAGACCAATGCTCCGAAACTCGAAGCAGCATTTTCCTTGAACCACAAAGCTTACTTTGGTGCAGAAAAAGACTGTGACCAATCAAGTCTGAATCACAATACTACTTCGTAGCGCGAGATGCTTAGTAATGTGAAAAAATAGTTTCTCAATAAAAATCTTTGAATCTCCATCCTACTTACATAATCACACCGTGCCCTAAACGTGCCCAAATTGAAAATTAGAGTTTTCATGATCATGGAATGATTTTGTGACTTCTGAATTTCAATTAGTTGATTGTGATTATGATCATAATAAAACACAGGACAAAGATTTTCAGCAAATAAAAATACTTTTTATTAACTAAGTTGAAATGTTTTAAATTAAAATTTTTAGATTTTTCAGTTTTTTGTTCAGAGACAATATAACTGCACAACAACTCACAGCAGGAGTAAAGTGAGAGGAGCATAGTGATGTGCAATTGAAATGATGAACCAGTATTGAACCATTTCAGGTATGCTGAAAAAAACTTTAGTGCAAGACAAATAAATTCTTTAAAAATCATACAATGTGATTTCCTGAAATTTTTTTTTAATTCTGTCTCTGAGTGGGAATGCACCTACAATGTGAATTTCAGACCCCTCCATGATTTCTAAGTGGGAGAACTTGCAAAATCGCAGGGTGTTCAAATACTTCTGTTCCTCACTGTATGTACATGTCCTTATGTAAGGCAGCAGTGGGCAAGTAAACAATGTAAGAACAGAACAGAAGTAAAGCAGTAATGTGCAATCAAGCAAAGGAATGTGCATTAGGAATAAAAATAAAGTACTACATACACACAGTCTGCATTATGTCTATAGTCAGGCTGTTTTGCTTGACATTGGTCTACAATGCCAAACTGACATTACAAGTATTTTCCACCAAGCTCACATCATCCTGCAGGACACAGCGAGGCCACCTGGATCTACCTAGATTGTAGCTGGACCTGACAGGTGGCGTAGATGGCATCGTAAGCACAGGAGGAAACGTGGCTATCGGGTGGGCCTATTAGCTCAACGGAGGAGACATCCACACAAGCCACCAGTCCCGAGTATCCTCCTCATTAACACCAGATCCATTGCTAACAAAAAAGCAGAGCTGGAGCTACAAATTCCTGGAAACTCAACCATCCGCAGTTGTTGTTTGATGGTCATAACAGAGACATGGCTACATCTATTGATACCGGATGCTGCAGTGCAGCTAGCAGGGCACTCTATTTTTCGGCATGACAGGAACGGTGACTCTGGTAAGAGCAGAGGAGGAGGACTGTCTACTCATGTCCATAATGCCTGGTGCACAAACTGTAACATTATATACAGCCATTGCTCTCCTGACTTGGAAGAAACGACTTAAGCGCAGACCCTTCTATCTGCCACGAGAGTTCACACTAGTACTTACTGCTGTGTATATTCCACCAGATGCCAAAGTCAGCACAGCTCTCACCCTGCTACATGAAGCATTAAACAAACAGCTGCAGGCTGATCCTGATGGGGTGCACATCATTGCTGGTGATTTTAATAAAGCGTGCTTAAGGTCAGTGCTCCCTAAATTTGTACAGTACATTACAGTGCGCCACCAGAGGGCTCTGGACCATCTCTATTCCAACCTTAAGCATGCCTACAGAGCAGTTTCTCTCCTACACTTAGGCCTTGCAGACCACCTCTCACTGCTCCTCTTACCAGCATACATCCCGTTCAGGAGGCAAACCAAGTCTGTCATTAAGAGTATAAAAACCTGGCCAGAGGGAGCACTCACACAGCTCCAGGATTGCTTTGCAAACACAGAATGGTCTATATTTGAACAACAGGACATCAACATGTCTTTTACACACCATCCTGACCAGGCTGCTCAAAGACATCTTGCCCCTAATCAACACATCCATATTAGATCTCACTAATCTCTCTCTCTTAGCACCCCATGTTCTGCAGGCTTTTAAGGTTGCTGTAATTAAACCTCTACTCAAAAAGCCTACTCTTGACCCAGGTGTTCTAGCTAATTATAGACCAATATCCAATTTCCCATTTCTAAAATACTTGAAAAAGCTGTTGCAAAGCAGCTACTGTATGTGACCACTTGCACAAAAATGATTTGTTTGGATTTTCAGTCAGGATTTAGAGTCCATCATAGTACAGAAACTGCATTGGTGAAAGTCACCAACAATCTCCTCCTAGCCTCAGACAAAGGACTTGCCTCCATACTTGTCCTCTTAGATCTCAGTGCTGCTTTTGACACCACTGATCACAGCATTTTACTACATAGACTTGAATGTCTTTATTATAATAATAAATGTATATTTATTGGGATTAAAGGAACCACACTAAGTTGGTTCAAATCTTATTTATCAGAAAGACTGCAATTTGTTCATGCTAATGATGACTCTTCCGTGCAGACTGAAGTTAGTCATGGCATTCTGCAGGGCTCTGTGTTAGGTCCAATTCTCTTCACTTTATACATGCTCCCTTTAGGCAATATTATCAGGAAGCATGGCATACACTTCCAATGCTATGCAGATAATACGCAGTTATATTTATCTATGAATCTAGATGAATCAGATCAGCTGATCAAACTTCAAGCATGTCTTAAAGACATAAAAACCTGGATGACCTGCAATTTCTTACTTCTAAACTCTGACAAAACTGAAGTTATTGTACTTGGGCCTGAAAGCCTTAGAAATCTGCTGTCTAGCCATACAGTTACTCTAGATGACATAGCTCTGGCCTCCAGTACTGCTGTGAGGAAACTTGGAGTCATTTTTGACCAGGATATGTCCTTTAAATCACACATAAACCAAGTCCCTAAAACTGCCTTCTTTTACCTGCGAAATATCGCAAAAATCAGGAACATCCTGTCTCAAAGTGATGCTGAAAAACTGGTCCATGCTTTTGTTACTTCCAGGCTGGACTACTGTAACTCTTTACTATCAGAATATCCCAGTATTTCCATAAAAAGCCTCCAGTTAATCCAACATGCCGCAGCCAGAGTACTGACAGGAACTAGTAAGAGAGATATCTTCCCTATATTAGCTTCTCTCCACTGGCTCCCTATAAAATTCAGAATAGGTTTTAAAATCCTTCTCCTAACATACAAAG